AAATGCAACCTTAGCTGTCATAGAATGGAAGACACCTTCCTATCTCGGTGGAAGATCAGACGAGTACTATATAATCGAATGTAAAAAGTGTAATAATGAAGTCATGACATGCATTAATAGTTGTGAGGGTGTCAAAGTCATCCACTTTCCAAAAGAAACAAATAGCGCCACTGCAAAAAATCTCTCTGCCTACAAATATTACCAATTCAGAGTGTTTTCAAAAAATGGAGTCACACATTTAGCAGAGAAGAATGGCGAAAAGCCAAAGTACGCAACATTACTACAAAGAACAAGTGAATCCAGTAAGTTAAGCCAAATTTAGCTGACTCATAAATTTATCATCAATTTGTAAACGTTTATTGTATGCAATTGTCACTTTCAGTCCCTGGTCCACCATCTTTGAAAATAACATTCATGAGTTCCACTGCTGTGCTTGTGAGATGGACGTTGACTGAGAAAAATGGAATAATAATTTTCTATCAAATCAGCTACTATCCTGTTGCAGACGAGTTAAATAAATACCTCTTGAACACTACTGAAAGCAGCATCGCCATCACTGGACTTACTATGGGAATAGAATACTACATCAAGGTAACCATTCAAACAGTGATTTTTACATAATCTGTTGAGTATTGACAACATGATCGTTGTATACAGGTTCGAGCCGCTACAAAACGAGGTTTAGGACGTATCAGTAGTAAAAAAGTCACCATGAATCAAGGTACAGCTATTTGTAAAAAGGTTGTATGATGTACTAGGCAAGCTGCGCCATATTTTCGACATCTTTTAAGCCCCCCGTACTCCATAGGAAGTCCGTAAGGCAGTCCCATTGATCTGCTTTTTTTCAATATGTTTGCACCTTTTTTGCTGTTCGTCTTTCCTAGCGAGGCGATGCACAGATTTGTTGTTTTTGCCTTTAGCATGACCAAAATTGCACGTTGTACTGAGAACCTGACTAGACAGACCAAGGTCAGCCAGTCAAGTCATAGCTAAATTATCGTTGTTCTTTTTTAAAGCGAGAAATATTCTTCCAATATCCGATTTTTATCCCTTATACAAAGCGTCGTCATTGTATGCGCCTCTTTTCAAAACTTGAGGAGTGTCAGATTTTTTTTATTTATCCTTGAGAAGGAGCAAACAGCAACCAAGGTGGTGATGACAGAACATCGACTGATGTTACTGTACCTGTCCTTGCGTCAATGCTCGCTGTGGCTCTTTTGGTTGTTGCTGTCCTTATTGTGGTATATATACTGCGAAGAAGAGGAATAATAATGAGACAAAGCCACTCTGAAGAGGTAAGCTAAGTATGATAACAGAACCGTACAGAAATCTGAAACGAGGGCTATAAATTCGACAGCCGAAGATGAACAAGTGGGATTCATCAAAAACAATACTTGAAGCATCTTAAAAGACAAGTGGCTATTGCCCATGTTAGAAATATTACACCCGAATGGTTCAAGTTTTTTTTAAGTGGTCCTGATTCAAACGTAAACGTTCATTAAATTGATAATTAGAGTTTGTAATAAATTAACTTATAGAAGGAAAGAAATGCTCCTGTTGGCAAAGCATATGACCAACCAATTATTCTTGATGATTTCACTGGAGAAACCACTGATGATCTTTACGCTTTCGTCCTTGATGAAAACTTATGGGAAGTACCAAGAAAAAACCTGTCAGTTATCAAGAGACTTGGTAGTGGAAACTTTGGATGTGTTGATAAAGCGACGGCGATTGGGCTGGAGGGATGCCCTGGACAGGCGACAGTTGCTGTGAAGACTCTCAAAAGTAAGTTAACGTTTCTCGGATGCAGCAAATTTCAAATGATTCTTTTATAAGACTAGACACGGAGGCAATACAAAGGCTTGCAAAAACCAATTTTTAAACACGAATTCTAGTACTTCAATGCAGTGAAAGCATAATGATGTTCGGACAAATAACAATACTTATTTCAAAGAGTACTTCTCTTCTTTAGTTAACTTTAGATTTTTCTGAGCTGTCATTGATTTTTAAACAATTAGAGAATGTAGCAGAAAAGGATAAAGAAGACTTCTTCACCGAGCTTCGACTGATGATGAGACTAGAACCCCACCCTCATGTTCTTAAACTATTAGGGTGCTGCACGAAATCCGATGGTAAGTCATACATTACTTTATTACTCCTTAGAACAATTCTAGATGCTAAAAAGTAGTAAAGTTTGGAAAGCATGTCCCCCATCTCTTCTCGAAAAAAGGATAATGTCTTCCTTACTATACTATTGTTATAGGCCCAATGTGCATTATCCTTGAATATTTGCCCTATGGAGATCTCCTTGGCTACTTAAGGCGATCACGTGGTCACGAAGATACCTATTGTTCGGGAGATCTTCGCCCAGAGACAAAGTTGACATCACGTGATTTATTGAAATTCGCCTGGATGATAGCTGATGGAATGAGTTTCTTAGCGGAAAATAAGGTCAATGTTAAAGGTCAAGTGGACATGTCATGCTGGCTTACTAGGCTTGTGAGCACATTCTTGTGAACACAAGACTTATTGCAAAGAACGACCATTGATAAATTTATTGTTATGCTYCTATAGAAATTTGCCTAAACAGGGATGGTGCCGGGAATTAGCGGTAAACTAGTGTGAGCTGCGTCGGTGTTAAAGAAACAGTTGTGTAAAAAGATAAATTAAACACCGTAAAAAAGTAGGAAAAGTAAATTACTGACGTTTCTGACGTTAATCCTTCGTCATCCAAAACGTCAGTAAGTTACATCTCCTACTTTTTTACTAAACAGGGATGGCCGTGATATCAGAGAAAAGTATATTTTAGGAGAATGTGTAATTTATATGGTCTTTATAAGTTTCCATTTTCAAAAATTTAGCAACAATATTTGTTTAAAGTTATTTCCACGACAAATTAATTATAATCCATATAGCTTCTGATATTGGCAAACCTATGAAAACAAGTGTTTCCAATTTAGTGTGTTCATCGTGACCTTGCTGCTCGCAATGTTCTTGTTGGTGAAAATAAAATCTGCAAGATATCAGATCTTGGACTTGCAAGGAGAATCAGAGAGGACGTCTACACCAGATCAAAAGCGGTGAGTATGGAATAATATAAAATTCTACTGTGGAATCTCGGCGGTGTATTACAGATTTATAAAAAAAATACGTTAGACATGTAAGATGAAGCAAGGACAGCAGTCATACAGACTGCACAACGGAAGTCAGAGAAAAATCACCAACAGTATTGGATATATAGTTCTTGTGAAGTTAAGAAGTAGGGAAACATGACGGATCTTAAGAAAATATTTGATACTTAGTTCATATAGTGCTCCTGAATACCTTTTAAAGTATTTGTTCCTTTTTTCTCTTCTAAAGGCTCGATTACCAGTGAAGTGGATGCCACCAGAGTCGCTTTTCCATGGAGAGTCGTCTATTGCTAGCGATGTGTAAGCAAATATGGCGTCGAGACAATTAAGTAAAATAATGTGCTTTATCTTGATGTATAACCTTTTCATAAAATTATTTTCAGGTGGTCTTATGGAGTTGTTTTATGGGAAATATTTACTCTTGGTAAGTTTGTGTTTGAAAGTTATTCAAATATGGATAAATGACTAATACTAACCTTAAAAGAGTAAATATCTTTAATATTGATGTTACATTTGTTGCTATGTCTTCAATCAGGTGATTCTCCTTATCCTAAATACAACGGGAAAGACATACCAAGACTGCTGCAACAAGGCTACAGAATGCCAAAACCACTCCACCTATCGGAGACTCTGTGAGTTGAATTTACATATTGTAAGCTACTTGATCATAAGATTATAGAAAAGAAGTGATCGAGTTTGATATAAATTTTACAACGTATAGTGACAACCGTATGTACATGGGCCTTAACAGTCTTTAACATAAATATTTTTTTCTTTAAGAGAAATGACTGAAAGAGTCATAACTTTCCCACACATAAGTTGCTCATATAAGGATTTTTGAGAAAAATGCGACGCCAATGTTACTGAGATCATATCACAGACATGATTTTTTTTATATACATTAGTGAACATATATATGATATCAAAGAGACAAGATTTTGCTGTATTTCCGAGTTTCGTGCTATGCACTCAACACACAGTATTTAATCTGTAATAATCAGTATTAAATACTGTCTGATGAGCGCGTAGCAAGAAACTCGGAGTTACAGCAAAATCTTGCCTCTTTGATATCATATATATATAACTAGCTCTACACTTTATGTGTATTGAGCACTCTTTAATGGGATCAGCCACTTCCTCATACGATTACATTAGTGAACATATAAGTCTGACTCATGGGCTATGAATTCAAGTCAATGTTTTAATACAGTTCTTAGACTATGGATGTGATCATTCATTGTCAATGCATTCATTGGTAACAGGCTCAATCCATTTCATTTATGAACACTGGATTCGTCCAGAACTGGCATAAGTATTCAAATGGCATAAATTTCAAAAGTCATAGCTACAAACAGACAGCGGTCTCACTCATGGGCCACGAATTCAGCCATAACTAGATTAAGCATGTGTCACAATTATAAGATTCATCACAAGGCATGACTCAATAGTCAGCTAACAATTTACATATCATTGTCATACTTTCTTCATATTATTTCAGATACTCAATGATGTTGAGATGCTGGCAAGACAAACCCGAGGACAGACCTTCCTTTACCATGATATGTGATGAAGTCAACCAATACTATAACACAACTAAGGTGCGTTTTCCTTTTTTATACAAGAGCAAGTGAAGATTATATACAATCGCTGAGTGTACATTTTAACAATTCGTGCCAAACAACAACTCTCGGTTTTATTTTTATCTCAATAAAGAGCTCTAGTTAAAACCCCCTCACACAAATCAATGCGACTCGAAACATAATGATTTTTTTATACACCTATTTCAAAAAACGTTGTCGTCGCCAGGACACAGTCCACGGTCTTGAGACTGCAAAGAATCTCGGGATTACCATAAATAATTAAAGTTCTGGTTTAGAACCAAGCAGCATATTCTTTTGTTTAATTTATTGATAGCCCGAGAAAACGCATGGAATTTGAAAAGAGAGACAATAGAATTGATTTGAAATCTCACACTTTTATTCTCACAATTACGAATATATTGCGCACAAATGAGGCTAACATAGAGCATTGGAGAATTCRAAACTGGAATACTCTCGGTCTCGAAGCGAATATTAGTCTCTTTTAACAGCCGCGGCTTCCGGCGGAAGTCGCGGCTGTTAAAAGAGACTAGGAAACCCCGAGATTCTTTGCAGTCTTAAGACTGTGGACTGTGTCGTGGTGACGACAACGTTTTTTAAAATAGGTGTATAAAGAACTAAAATTTGCTTTTTGTTCCAGGATTATATCAACCTTGACGTGTTTGAAGATGCTTTGTACGTCAACTTCGATGTCCTTTAAAAATAAATGGACGGCTTGCAGAAAGTTTGGCCTCATTGAGCATCATCTCATAGCACACTCATGGAAAATTTGTAGAATAATTTTCTAAACACGAAAATAGCTAGACTGACCTTGACTGCTTTTTCGATGAGAACTACTCACCATCACAATGAACATCTTTGCGCTCCCAGATTCAGTCGAAATGAAATCCTAATAAGTTTAACATCACTGTAATTGCAGCTTTCCTTCTAAGCTGCAAGAAATTAAACTTAAGTAAAAGTGCATACAGTATATAGTAGGATCGAGTCTATAGCAAACTCGAGTTCACGCATTCACATGTGACTACATAATTTTTGTACGGTATTCCGTCAGCTTCAAATCAAACATATCAAAGAAAACATATGTATTATTTTACGTATTTGATAATACACAAAGGAAATCTTACCTCTTCATTAATTGGTCTCATGCATCTCTTCAGTCATTTCTCACTTTATCTAATCATAACTCTGTTCTCTTTGTATCTCACGCCTTAACACATATCCACACAAGTCATGGGCTTCCTGTGGTACGGAAATAACAGCAATGCATAACAAGCTTCCGGGTAAATCACTCACCGTCCAGTAAGAGCTCGTTTCTTCATATATAACGGATCCTTACGAAAGCTGAAAGCTGTTGAGGATAGAGTAGAATGATTGCTTTATGTTATACATTCGATCAATCTGTTTTGAAAAATCTGAGAACAGGTTTGAAAGACTATAATTTGAGGTAGGTCAATATTATGTCTCGTTAACAAAAAGGACATTGTCAACGATTAATTACACAATTATTTCTGTCATCCTCCTTCAGACCCATTTTCTTAAATTAACAGGTTTGTTCAATATCAATAGTCATTAGCCAATTGAGTCAAACATTATGAAATATCATTTTGCACTCATAAATATCTGTGAAGCTTTGAGGACCATAGTCTACAGCACGAGTATGCAAATTTGTGTCAAAATAAACCACACACAGAAACTATACTATTCATGCATAACTAACGTCAAGCAGATGAGCATTTGACAGTTATAGAGCGAACGCAGGAAAACCATGAAATAAAATCAAACTAAATACTAACAAAAAGCAGCTATTTAGAGACAACTTGTGTCAGTATCAATAAATCAGAACACAATGAAGAAGAATCCACATGGACCCACTTTTAATTCGTCTTTATTGCGTTCTTGTTCATTGATAATGTGACAGTTGTTTGTAAATAGCCGCTTTTTGTTAGTATTTAGTTTGATTTTATTTCATGGTTGTCCTGCGTTTGCTCTAGTGAAATATCAAATAAAAGGCTAAATGAGTCAATAGTTAACTGAATGAATAAAGAGAATAAAGAGATAGTTATACGCTAAAATTATAACATATAACTGACTAGTTTAAGAAATAGCTCAATAATGTAAATTTTTTTTTTCAGCTGTTTGTTTGTTTGTTACCATGCAGTGCATGTGTACTTCAAGTTTTATTCTCGTATTTATCTTCGTGGCAAGTAGTGAAGCTGGAAAAGGTATGCTTTACGAAAACGTTTAAGCCCGTTTTAGACGGCACAACTTTTGCCTACAACCATCGCATGCAAACTGCTTAAGTCATCCTTACAACATGGCTACAACTGTCGTAGGGCTATTAAGCAATTGTTTTGAAATACCTACAACAGTTGTAGCCACGTTGTAAGGACGACGTATGTTGGTTGTATGCGATGGTTGCCGTCTAAATCGGCCTTTATATAGAATGTAAGGCGCATTGGATCGATGTAAATGTGTTGCGTCAGTTTCGTCAAAAGTGGATATATGCCCTTTTGATATCCTAGTTACTCCTGGACCATAACTGAATGAATGATTTGAAGAAAAGTTAGTTGTACGCATTGACTTACTGTATCAATCCAGTAAGTGAGAACTTAATACTTATTCATTGTTTATACTGTAGACAAAATTATTGAAGTGCCTCAAAAGAATGCACAGTCTAAATGGATATGGTCTTGGACCGGCCAGGTAAAACAAACATTACACTGCACTGACATGACATATCACCACGATTTTGATTATTTAAGTATGGTGGACCTCATTCTGGGCGGATGATTACACCAGTTAGATCTGTAAAAATCAGAATTACTCGTACTGGTAATTGATATTCACTCCAATATTACTCCAGTATTAAAGAAGAGCTTTCCATCGTTTCACGGTTATCAAATATTTTGGTGTTGGTGAAAAATGGTAAGCCTGACTGACATATACTATATGTTTATGTATAATTAAGAGTGTATTGTGTTTTTGTTTTTAATAGTGGGATCCGAAAGATTATGGAAAACCATTTTATCAACAATGTGAAAACTCAGATAGTCAAACAAACAAGTGGATAAGAAGCGATGAGTTCCTGGTTGGTGATGCAAGAAGAATTGATGTTACTGTCGCATATGCGGTCTCTAAGTGTTCTAGTGTGTCTTTAGTATATTGCAAGGATACATTAAACCTTTATGTTTATAAGACTGCAATTAAGCATACATTTGGCGGTATTAATATAATCCCGGAACCTTGGAAAAAACCCGAAATCTATCATGTCTTCGGAACCACGTCTGCAACCAACTTTAGTAACGGAGTCCCTTCTCGTAGTTTTGCCAATACAGAAACACATTCATTTCTTGCAAGCACTTCCACACCGTACCATTACTTCGCCATACAATATCAAGGAGGATGTTTTGAGTTGTACAGTGTTACCATAAGTTACTCGGTATGTCCATCACAAGCTCTTCATACTACTCTAATACAATTGCCACGAACTCTAGCCCCAGCTAACGGTACAATTCAAGTATCAGGCTCATGTGCAGAAAATGCTCACTCATTGGCTAACAATGCAACATTATATGGTCACTGTCAAGCTAACGGTGAATGGAGCAGTGATGCAAGTGGCGAATGTTTGTGTAAAGCTGGTTATGGAAAATACCTGAATGGATCTGGTGCAGTTTGCAAAGGTTTGCTACTTCAGAAAAAGATTATTTGTTATCTTATAATCTTTTCCATAAAGCGCCGTTTACACGAGCAATTTTTCTTTGGCAAGTTTTCCTTGACAAGGGAAAAATTGTTCGTGTAAATCGGGTAAAATTGACAATTTTTCCTTTTCAAGAAAAAGCCAACATGTTCGCTTTTCCTTTACAAGGAAAAATTGTCAAGGACGAAATTTGCTCGTGTAAATGGACAACAAGGGAAATGTGGCAAGGAAAAATTGTCAAGGACGAAATTTGCTCGTGTAAATGGACAAAAAGGAAAATGTGTCAAGGAAAAATTGTTAAGAAACACTTGTTGAGCATTCACACGGGCAATTTTTCCTTGTCAAGGAAAACTTGTCAAGGAAAACTTGCTCGTGTAAACGGGGCTTAACTGGGAACGATGTTATCTACTTCCGCGATAATTAAATAGAGCCCATCATGAATATAAAGCATTGCCACAAGCAATGTAGGCGTATCATTACCCAAATCAACCAAGTTTGTGTAATATTTCGAGAAGAAAGACATCAGTTCCCTTCAATACAAATAGCCCATGATTGCTTTTCAACACAAAATTCATAGTAAGACTGCAATGGAATTATATTTTGCTTTCGCACAGAATGTCCACTTAGGACTTACCAAGATTTACCAAGTGCTAGTGCATGTAAAGCTTGTCCWGCGAATAGTGTACAAGATGTGGTTAGAAAGAAATGTATTTGTGCTCCTTCCTTCTATAGAACAAAGGATGAGACAATATTCGAAAATTGCACAGGTAGGCATGATAAGTACATAGAATATATCTCGAGCTTACTATCCTTATGTGAGAAGTTTTGGTGGCCTTTTGCATCTAGACACGAAATTATCAAAAGCACTTCATTAGTTTGTAAAAGGTTTCTTGGTAATTTTAGCACAACCCTCAGTACCTCAAGATATCAGGACAACATTTCTTAATGCCACCTCGACTGTTWTAAAATGGAAGACCCCTTCAAATCTTGGTGGACGGACAGACGTTTACTACGACGTGGAGTGTCAAAAGTGTGACGATAAAGGAAACAGCTGTAGTGAAAGATGTGGTGAGGTTGAAATCATTCACACTCCAAAAAACAGCAGAAARGCCACAGTAAAACATCTTTCTATATACACGTACTACCAATTCAAGGTATTCGCAAAGAATGGAGTCACATATTTAGCAGAAAGCAATGGAAAAAAGCCAAAGTATGCAATATTCAAACAGAGAACAAGCGAATCGAGTAAGTAATTTTCACTTTGAGCAAGGTTTGATGGATATTTGTGGGACTGCAAGCTTAATTTTTAGCCATTCTTTTCCATCACGAAAGAATCAAACGTTAAGATTGATATATTATGATTCGTTGTCTCATTAGTTGTCTTCGTATCAACATTTCCTTATACAAAGCCTTTAAAAAAAAACATTTTTATCCATATATTGATGAGAAGAGAAACTCAGATAGCTTACCTTCTTTGGCTTAAGTTCCAGGAGTACCAGTGTTGAATACGGAAGGGTTAGGCTCCACTTCGGTGCTACTTAGCTGGACCTTGACAGAACAAAATGGTATCATAACTTATTATCAAATCAGCTACTATCCTGTCGGTGACAAGTCTACCCGGAAAGCTTTGAATACATCAAAAAGCAGTGTGACAATCACTGGACTAGAAGAAGGCACAGAGTACTACTTCCAGGTAAGGCCTTGGTGTTTCAATCAAAAGTGCAAACAATTAAAAATGCTCGTTTGACGGTCCACGCTTTATTACAAAGGCCACATGTCACATACATCCAAAAACCTTTGCACGATTTTCTCACATGAAAATTCTGCATGTTTGTTTTGGAGCCATTCAGACAGCACCTTTTAACAAGAGATCATTTCTTCAACCAAAGAAACCGTCGCGAAGGTTCTTGGATGCACATGGGCGTTTAAAGTAKGAGAAGGCGACGGTTTCTTGGAGAAATATATCTCTTCTTATGTCCGAGCCAGCTGTAAGTCACAACCGGTTGCCAGCAAGAAATCCAGTAAAAAGAACTCTCCAGGCAAAGAATACCTTCTAAGAATGTTTTCCAGGAAAATAAAAATTTAAATCTAAAAATCTAGCCTTTTTTGACCTCAAAAACGTTTGTCAGGAACAAAATTATTTGAAAGAAGGAAGGTCGCCACATGTGTTTCCGAGATTGTCAACAGTGTAGCTCAAAATTTCATTCCCAGGAAAAAATGAACAGATCCCGTTGGCTTCTCCTGTTACAGATAGCAATAGTCACTATCAGAAACTGTGCATGCATGCATCTCGAGATACTTTCTTTTTATTAACAGGTTCGTGCTTCTACGCTTGTAGGTTTAGGACCTKTAGGAAGTACAAAGATGATGATCCCAGGTATCTAAATCGACCAGTCCCCAATTCCAATCCTTCAGCAGTCTGATCAAAAATTTCAACTTTATTTTTCACTGTTTCCAAAACCAGGTAAAAGAGAMAACAAGATAGGCAATGACAACACAACTGATGTCACAGTTCCTGTTCTTGCTTCGATGCTCGCACTTGCTTTGTTGACAGTAGCTCTTCTTATTATTGTCTACATCTTGCGAAAGAAGGGTCTCCTTCAGAGACAGAGCGCTCCTAAAAAGGTATCACAGACATTGTAGTTTATAGAACAAAATGAACTTTGGTTCTTCTATATTTTCCTTTTTTACCCGGTGTACAATTATAACAGTTGGTTTCGGATATATTTCGTACACAGAACGAAAGACATGCTCATATTGGCAGAGAATATGATCAAGCGGTTATTGTTTTGGATGGCATTTCCGGAGAAACAACTGATGATCTTTACGCTTTCGTCGTTGATGAAACCTTATGGGAAATACCMAGGGAAAACCTGTCAGTTATTAAAAGACTTGGTAGTGGAAACTTCGGTTGTGTTGATAAAGCGACGGCCAGAGGTTTGCACGTCTGCCCTGGACAAGTAACGGTTGCTGTGAAGACTTTAAAAGGTAATATCCAGTAATGTCCAGTAAAAATTACCASTAATGTGGCAACTGTTGCCTGGTCACTGGAAAGAGACATATCTTTACCAATCTCTTTTCAACTTTCCTTTTATAATGTTTACTATGATTGCTACATATACATTCGTTGGAACAGAAATGAAAAAAAGCAGGGATAAAATTAAATTTAGCACAAAGATCATTTCCAATCGAATTCAGAAAATGCGGMAGATAAAGACAAAGAAGACTTCCTGACAGAGCTTCGATTGATGATGAGACTGGAACCCCACCCTCATGTTGTTAAACTATTAGGGTGCTGCATGAAGTCCGATGGTAAGTACATAATACATTCATAGCATTAGCAAAAGAAGATAAMTCACTCTTGTTRTACTACTTTAGGTCCAATGTGCATTATCCTAGAATATTTGCCCTATGGCGATCTCCTTGGCTATTTAAGGCGATCACGTGGTCACGAAGATACCTACTGCTCAGGAGATCTTCGTCCAGAAACAAAGTTGACATCACGTGATTTATTGAAGTTCGCCTGGATGATAGCTGATGGAATGGGTTTCTTAGCGAAAAATAAGGTCAGTGTTAAAGGTCAAGTGGCGTGTCATTATTATTATTATTTTTTTTATTTATTTATTTATTTATTTGTTTTTTTTTTTAAATATCCTTGTGATACTCATGGTTTTAAGGATAATAAAGATAGATGTAGATGTAGAYGTCATGCTGGCATTTTAGGCTTGTCAAGCAAGGACTAATAGGTTTAGTGAAAACCTTAGGAATAAAATATAGATAAATTATAATTGCCAGGACTTCTTTGACTAAGAAAAAGAGGATAAARATAAACTAAATGATGGTTTGTTTTGCAAAACAATTTATATGATCATAATTTTAACGATAAATTGTTCTCTAAAACGCTTATATATAGACAATGATCGTTGTCAAATTTCTTGCAAAATATTATGTTTTCAGTGTGTTCATCGTGATCTTGCTGCTCGCAATGTCCTTGTTGGTGAAAATAAAATCTGCAAGATATCAGATCTTGGACTTGCAAGGAGAATCAGAGAGRACGTCTACACCAGAACAAAAGCGGTGAGTATGGAATAATATAAAGTTATATTTAACAATTAGACCTCGAGGTCGAGTGGACTACGAGCTAATAGTCCATGAGGCCGAGTCCGCGAGGCCGAATGGGCTATTAGCTCGTAGTCCACGAGTCCGAGAGGTCTAATTGTTTCAGTATAAACATACTAATCGGTCAAATAATGAAAACAAATTGAAATATACTTAAAATGATTCATTAATGAGATGCCACCATTTTGATTTTCCCGCGAGTGGTCTATCACAAATTAGACCATTAGTAGAGTAGCCAATCACAGCGCAGTATGAGTGATAGACCATTAGTAGAGTAGCCAATCACAGCGCAGTATGAGTGATAGACCATTAGTATGTTTATACTAATGTGGAATATATGAATGTATCAGGTCTCGACGGTGTATTAGAGATTTATAAAAAAATAAGTTAGACATGTAAGATGAAGCAAGGACAGCAGTTATACACCCTTTTAATAAGTCCCGATGTATCGAGTTCTCCGCACTTGACGTCAAATTTATTCTTTTGAAATTTTTACAATACAAAAGGAATTCAAAAGTACAAATTTGACGTCAAGTGCGGAGAACACAATAGCTCGGGACTTATTAAAAGGGTGTATACAGACTGCACAACGGAAGTCAGAGAAAAATCACCAACAGTATTGGATATATAGTTCTTGTGAAGTTAAGAAGTAGGGARACATGACGGATCTTARGAAAATATTTGAKACTTAGTTCATATAGTACTCCTGRATACCTTTTAAASTATTTGTTTCTTTTTTCTCTTCTAAAGGCTCGATTACCAGTGAAGTGGATGCCACCAGAGTCGCTYTTCCATGGAGAGTCGTCTATTGCTAGCGATGTGTAAGCAAATATGGCATCGAGACAATTAAGTAAAATAATGTCTTTTATCTTGTTATATAACCTTTTCATAAAATTATTTTTTAGGTGGTCTTATGGAGTTGTTTTATGGGAAATATTTACTCTTGGTAAGTTTGTGTTTGATAGTTATTCAAATATGGATAAATGACTAATACTAACCTTAAAAGAGTAAAAATCTTTAATACTGATGTCACATTTGTTGCTATGTCTTCATTCAGGTGATTCTCCTTATCCTAAATACAACGGGAAAGACATACCAAGACTACTGCAACAAGGCTACAGAATGCCAAAGCCATTTCACCTATCAGAAACTCTGTGAGTTGAATTTACCTATTTGGTGCTGCAGTGATCATAAGCTTATAAAAATGAAGTGACAGAGTCTGATATAAAGTTTACAAAGTATAGTAGTAAAAACCATATGTATATGAGCCATAAAAAAACTTTTCCATAACTTTCCTTTACATAAATGACCCATGAAAATCGCCAATGTTAACAGATGGCATGATCATAGGCATGACTTGTGCATACATCAGTGAACATGTAAGTCTCATGGGCTATGAATTCGATCAAGTCAATGTTTTGATACAGTCCTTAGTCCATGGATGTAACCATTCATTCCCAATGCATGCTGGTGACAGACGTACATCGGCCTCATTCATGAACCATGAACTGGCATATAAAGTATCAAATTCACAAGTATTCAGCTAACATTTAACATACTCTCTTCATAACACTTCAGATACTTACTAATGTTGAGATGCTGGCAAGACAAACCCGAGGACAGACCATCCTTTACCATGATATGCGATGAGGTCAACCAATACTATAACACAACCAAGGTGTGTTTTGCTTTTTTATAAAAGAGCAAGTAAAGATTACATAAAATCACTGAATGTACATTTTAACAATTCGTGCCAGCAACTAAATCTCAGTTTTATTTTGATCTCAATAAAGAGCTCTAGTTAAAAGCCCCTACACAAATCTATGCGCCTCGAAGCTTAAACGATGTTATAGAGAACTACAATTTGCTTTTTGTTTCAGGATTATATCAACCTTGACGTGTTTGAAGATGCTTCGTACGTCAACTTCGATGTCCTTTAAAAATAAATGGACGGTTTATGGAGCATCATCACATTGTACCCTCAAGGAAAATTTGTAAAATAATTTTCAAAACAGCTAAACTGACCTAGACTGCTTTTTCAATGAGAACTACAGTTGACTCTCTTTGAACGACCACTCTCGTAAGCGACCATATCCCGTGAGCGACCACCTTTTAAATTTCCCGTTATAATTGTTTCCCATATTTAAAGTCTGTAAAAAAAATCTCCCGTGAACGACCATCTCTTTTAAGCGACAACTTTTTCCTGATCCCGAGGTGGTCGCTTACAAGAAATTAAACTTAAGTAAATGTGCATACAGTATATAGAAGGATCGAGTAGCAAACTCGAGTTCACATGTGACATACAAAATTTTTGTACGGGATTCCGTCAGCTTCAAATCACACATATCAAAGAAATCATATATAATTCAAAATATGTGTTGTTATTATACGTATTTGATAATACACAAAGGAAATCTTACCTCTTCATTTGGTCTCATGCATCTCTTCAGTTATTTCTCATTTTATCCAATCATAACTCTGCTCTCTTTGTATATCTCGCCTTAACCACATAACCATACAAGTCATGGGCTGCCTGTGTTACGGAAATAACAGCAATGCATAAAATTGCTGTTCTTGCTTTATGGTTATACTTTCGATCCATTTATTTTGAAAATCTGAGAACAGCTTTGAAAGACTATTATTTGAGGTAGGTCAATATTATATGTCTCGTTAATAAAAAGGAAATTGTCAACTTAAATTAATTCCACAATTATTTCTGTCGTCCTTATTCCGACCCATTGTCTTGAATTAATAGCTTTGTTGTATATCAATAGCCATTGGTCAATCATTATAACATTACGAAATATCATTTTACACTCATTATTTTACTCATTGTCTGTGAAGCTTTGGGGACCATATTCTACAGTATGAGTGTGCAAATCTTTGTGTCACCACAAGCAACAAACAGAAACCATACTATTCATGGAAAACAAAGTCGAGGAAACTCAGGAAAACAATGAAACAAAATTAAACTAAATACTAACAAATAGCGGCTATTTACTGACTAGTTTAAGAAATAGCTCAATAATGTAAATGCCTTTTCAGGTATTTGTTTGTTACCATGAACTGCATGTGTACTTCAAGCTTTATTCTTGTATTAATCTTCTTGGCATGTAGTGAAGCTGGAAAAGGTATGAATTACAAAAAAAAATTGTTTTCAGAAATGTACGGAGCAATGGATGTAAATGTGTTACGTCTAAATATGTGAATCACTTGATGAAGTGTTATTTGTATCACTAAATTCTTGCATGAGACCTAATTACTTATACACATTTGTTTATAATAGAAACTATTATTGAAGTGCCGTATATGAATTCACAGTCTAAATGGAAATGGGCTTGGACAAGTCAGGTAAAACATAGAAATTAAGTTACACTGAAATATTATATCGCCACGAGTTTTGATAAATGAAGTATTGTTCAAGTATTCTKAGCAAATGCTAAAACAAGAGAATGTCCGACATCGTTGAGAAAAAAAAGCATGTGTAGGAATTAGAATACCTACAAAGCTATACTTGATATTTAATCAAATAATGTTTAAAACACAAGAGCTTACTTCCGTTTGAAATACCAGCGGGTTCCTCGGAGAAAAATGTTCTGTTGTTATGTCCCAGTAAGATGAAAGTAACAAGTGGGTTCGAGGTCTGAAGGTGAAAGTTGAATAATGAATAACAGTTCAAAAGTGACTGGGAATAATGAATAATTAAATAAAACTTCTAAGGAATAATAAATAATGAAAAAAATCAAAAAGAGATAATGAATAATGAAAAAAAATCAAAAATATCATAAAGAATAATGCCAATAATAG